CTATTCTATTCTATTCTATTCTATTCTATTCTATTCTATTCTATTCTTCCCAAATACCCTTTTCTACACCTTTTTTAAAAACCAGGCTCTCTTCCATTGTCCTGAATGAGATCCGCCTCCCAGGAGAAAAAAAATGCAGAATTATTTTTGGGCAGTTGGTGGGGTTTTAGCATCTGCTCGGATGCCTTCGTCTTCCTTTGAAAAATCCCCTTCCCCAGCTGAGATCCCAAACTCGATCTGCATCAGATCTCCAGCCAATTTGAGACCCCCCCAAACTCTTTTAAGCCACTTACCCGATCGCCTGAGAGAGAGATCTGCAGTTTTCACCTGGTGGGCTGCAGCCGGTCTCTTCTCTTCAGCCGACCAAGGTCTGTCTCAGGTCCCACCCACCTACCCCTCACCTGGCTGCCTCTTCTCACCTGGGCCCAGCCTTCCCCTTCCTCTCTCCACCCACTTCTCAACCGAGGCCTCTTCACACCTGCCTTAGCCTGCCAGCTAAGATTTAAGCACTCCGAGTTTGAAATCAGAGGATTTAGTTAGTAGCTTCAGAGTTAGGGCTGCCATAGGCAGCAAAGAAAACTACTCGGATGGGTTTGTTTGTTTTTTTTGTCTAAAAATGCATGGCAGTCACTAAAATAAAATAACTTTTTTTTCCTCTTCCCTTATTTATATTTCATTTGGTTATCCTACTTAGCTTGACTTTGCATGTGATTTTTATTACTTTACTTTCTTTTGCTTTAAGCAAAAGAAAAGCTTTATTTAAAACAAAAACAAAACAAAAAAACACCAGGCTTTTGTTCCTATAAAGGACAATATTTGTAGCTTAGGGTTGAAATGAGGGGTCCTTGGTGCTCTCTGAGCTTGGTGGTTTTCTTGCAGATGTTTCACTACCCAAACTCGGTAGCCTCATCAGTGCTAGTGAGGGTGGGGATAATAGCACTGATGAAGTTGCCTAGTTTGGTAATGAAACGTCTGCAAGAAACCATCAAGCTCAGAGGTTTTATTCCTTTAATATTTTAATCTCCTTCTCCTTCGTCAGCGTCCTGCCCAAGCAGGAGCCCCAACACCATTTCTGACCGATGGCAGTTCAGTCTTTTCTTGAAAGCTTCTAGTGATGAAGCTCCCACAACTTAAGAAGCGGGGAGGGTCAACCTATTTTCCAAAGCACCAGCAGGCAAGACAAGAGACAATGGATGGAAACTAATCAAGCAAGCTACAATTAAATTGAACTTTCCTACAAGTGAGAACAATTCATAATGATAACAGAATAGGTGTGGAACAGCTTGCCACCAGAAACTGGGGGTGCTTCATCTCTGGGAGCTTTTAACAAAAGAACGGACAACCACCTGTCTGAAATGGTGTAGGGCAAGGGTCTTCCAACTTGGCAAGCTTTAAGCCTTGTGAACTTCAACTCCCAGAATTCCTGAGCTAACATGACTGGAGGAGGAGGAATTCTGGGAGCTGAAGTCCGCAAGTCTTAAAGCTGTCAAGTTTGAAGAGCCCTGGTGTAGGGTCTCCTGATTGAGCAGGGGGCTGGACTAGAAGACCTCCATGCTCCCTTCCAGCTCTGTTCTGATCCTGATTTTTCCGCCCAGCCTAGCAACGTCTTCCTGTTTCGCTATCTGCTTTGTGGGCCAGACCAGACCTGCCCTTTCTGGCTGTCTGAGAAGAGTCTAAGCTGGGGGACTTTCTTGCCTCAAATTATTCACAGCCAGAGATAAGCCCCCCCCCCCCGCCCCCATTGCCTGCTTCAGCACGCAATCCAACTGGAAAAGTTGAAGTAAGGCTGATCTGCCAAGTCTCCATCGCCTGAAGGCAGAAGCTTAAAATCTATCCGGCAGAACTCTCTGTTCTTTCCGACGCGTTTATTATAAATTCTGAATTGTGCATGGTCCAATATATGTGTGTGTGTGTTGTGTGTGTGTGTGTTGCTGACTCGCATTGCAATCTCTGAGTCCTGTTCTTCCAAGATGCACTGTTATTTTTTTGGAAGGATTAAATTGGTCGTCTGGCAGGGAACTGGTTCTGAGCCCCTGTCACCTTCCTAACAACCCTGTGAGGTAGGTTATGGCTCGGTTGATAAGCCGGATAGCCAGCGCCTGTTTTAATCCAGAATTTTCAGCAGAGAACCAGGTGCCTCTGAGGTCTCACAACATCAAGATGGAGTCCTCTCCCCCCCCCCATAACCTGGGGGTCATTTTCATAAAGTCCAGGTCACTTGTGATTTTTAATCTTAAACTGGATTTCAACATGGATTTCCCCCCCATTTCCTGTTCTTCCTTTACCACAGCGTTTCTCAATCTTAGCACTTCATGATCTGCTTCAAGATGAATGGACTTCAACTCCCAGAATCCCCCAGCCACCATGCTTCCAAATGGGTGGGCTTCAACTCCCAGAATCCCCCAGTCAGCATATTGAGAAATCCTGTTCTAAGCCATCACATTTGGGGGGGAAAGGGGGGGTGTTTCCGTAAAGAAAGCGTGATTTTTCCATTTTTGAAAAGGATGATTTTATTTTTCCAGAATGAATGTTGAGCATGGCGGAGAGGGAGGCCCTGCCAAAGAAGGTGCACACAGGCGAGAGCTATGTGCCCAAAGGGAGTTTCGGAGCTCTCCTAAAAGCAGCCGCAAAGAACGGGGAGCTTTTAATGGACCCACCCAGATCCAGAAAGCCTCCAGTAGATCAGGAAGATTAATGAAGCTTTGGCAATGTCTCCTGAGCCATTTATCCACTCAGCGGCCTCCCGGAGTTTGGCAAAGACACAATTCAGCCTCAGACAAGCCATTTCCACCGTGCTCCATCGCGGGAACTTCCTAGAATCGTAATAACGGGCCCAAAGCTTTTGCTATCAATATTTTATTCACGAGGAGGACATTGTGGGAAGTTCTCAGGTCCTTGGACTGCTCTCCAAGGCAGGCAAAGTTGAGGAGGAGGCTTCAGCCCAGCTCGATTTAGGGTGGAAAAACAGTTGAAGGCCACAAATCTTCAAACAGGCTGGATGGAGAATTCTGGGAATCGAAACTCCGCCATCTTAGATGTGTGTGTATTGTGGGAATGTGCATAACGGTTATCCTTTGAGAGCTGAATGCAATGAAATGCAATGAGGTACCAATACTTACTAAGGCTCTATAAAGCCTTAGTAAGGCCACACCTAGAGTCCTGCATCCAGTTTTGGTCACCACACCATAAAAAAGACGTTGAGACTCTGGAAAGTGTGCAGAGAAGAGCAACCAGGATGATGAGGGGACTGGAAGCTGAAATGTACGATGGACAGTTGCAGGAACTGGGCCTGGCTAGTCTAGGGAAGAGAAGGACCAGGAGAGACAGGAGAGCATCTTCCAGTATTTGAGTGGCTGCCACAGGGAGGAGGAAGGAGTCTCAAGCTATTCTCTAAAGCCCCCGAAGGCCACAGAAGGAATAATGGATGGAAACTGAACCAGGACAGATTCAACCTGGAAATAAGGAGGAATTTCCTCACAGTGAGAACAATCAACCCATGGAACAGAAGTTGCCTTCGGAAGTTGTGGGAGCTTCATCCCTGGAAGCTTTCAAGAAGAACCTTCTGTCAGAAATGGTTTTAGGGCAGCGGTCGCCAACTGGTGGGCTGGGGACCAGCCGTGGACTGCGAGAAAATTTTGGTGGTCCTCAGAGAAATGTCCCCCCCAAAGCAATTAATCCAGGTCCACATGGTTCCCCCAAAGTGGTGCAAACTGGCTGAATCCCATCACTGCAATTGGGTCAGTCATATACAGGAGGTTCTTGAACTTACAACAATTCATTTAGTGACTGTTCAAAGTTGCAACGGCATTGCAACATGGGACTTTTGATAGTTTTTCACAGTTACGACCTTTGCAGCATCCTCCGGGATGTGTGTCACATGATCAAAATTCGGCCGCTTGGCCACGGACTCGTATTTAGCAGAGTTGCAGTGTCTCAGGGTCACGTGACCCCCTTTTGTGACCTTCTGACACACCCAGTCAATGGGGAAGCCAGATTCACTTTACAACCGTGTGTGACTAACTTATCCACAGCAGCGATCCACTTAACAACCGTGGCAAGAAATGTTGTAAAGTGGGACAAAACTCAAATATTTCGCTTAGCGATGGAAATGGTGGGCTCTGTAGTGGTCGTGAGTGGAGGACCAACTTTGCAGGAGGAGAAAATGATCTCATTTAGAAATGGGGGCTAGGAGGGAGGATTATCCTGGCAGGAAATATCTAAGGCTTCTTTTGAGCTGGGTGGGGCATTTCTTAAATGGGTTTTTTTTCCTTTTCTGTTTTTTTCCCCTCTCTCTCTCTCTTTCTCTGTTTCGTTATTATTATTATTTTTGCTTTGCAAGGGGTTATCGAGACAAAGATGGGCGAGACCCCCCAAGACGGAGAGATGGAAACAGCCTCTGAGGAAGGACTCGAAAAGCTTTTTGCAAATCTTGTGCAGCTGCCAAGGGCTTCTGGAGGATTTCTTTCTTTCTTTCTTTTTCCATTGAGTAAACAAAACATAGAACAAGAACTATCTATCTATCTATCTATCTATCTATCATCTATCATCTATCTATCTATCATCTATATCTCTATCTGTATCTCTATCTGTATCTCTATCTGTATATCTATCTATCTATCTATCTATCTATCTATCTATCTATCTATCTATCTATCATCTATCTGATTAAAAAGGAAAATAAGACGAATAATTGAACGTGAAGCAAGAGAATGAGAGAAATGAGAAACGACAGGCATTTTTAAAAGCATGATCTTAAGGCAAAACTCAGACATAAACACCATATGTAATACTAGCTGGATACCTGTGCTTCGCTGCAAAACTATGTGGTTGGGCTTAGTTTTTGGGGAGGAAAATAAGGTGGGGGGGAGAAATCTGCCTCTGCCTACCAGCATCCATCGGTATCCATCTGACTAGCATCTTATCAGTGTGTGAGAGAGTTGAGGGCTGTTTAGAAACTGAAACAATATATGCTGTGTGAGCAAGAAGGAGACAGCAAGGAGCCTGGGCATGGCTTAGCTCAATTGTTCTGTAGTAAAACTGCTTGGTGCTCTGAAACTAAAACTGAAACTCCTCTGCTTGTGTTTTACATTTGGAAGAGATTTCTTTTCAGGTGGGGAGGGGGAGTAGAACTCCTTAGCATCAGAGCAAGTTAATAATAATAATATAGGAAATACTAATGCTTTGATGGTCATTTGGAAAAATCCTTTCTTAGTGAGCACCTAGAAGCCAAGAGAAACTTAGGTGCCAAATTTCAAGTTTGTAGGCTTTACGGTTCTGGAGATTTTGTGATGATGCATGCAACGTTTCGGCAGAATCTCATCTGCCATCATCAGGCTTCTGTATTGTGT